AGCAGCAAAGTGCTGTGCCTGCCACGAGATCTGCACACGGAGGTTCAGAAACCTAGAGAGCCAGGAGTGTTATGTTTTGAGCCTTTGGCAGTGTTTTAAGGCTCATCTTGACCATGTAAAACTGAAGGCTTACAGCTTAAGCCTTTGAATCAAATGATCGTGGGCAGCACAAAACAGGTAGTCTGTCTGGGCTTCAAGTTTGGCGCCTTAACGCTGAAAGTTGCAAAGTATAGTCTGGCTGGCCTTTAAAGTTTGGTGCTCAAACGCTGAAAGTTGCAAGGTCGCAACGAAGACCTTGAGCCCACAGTATCTCTTCTATTGAAGAGATACTGTGAATATATGTGAATATAAATAACCATAAATACTCATATGTGTGCTCGATTGTGCTCGTGTGTTTCCAGGGATTTGGTCTTGTTTTGTTTTTGTTTTTGTTTTCAAGGTTCGAGGTGGTCCTCACATGCCCGCCGCCTTCTTGGACAAACGTTTGGGGAACATTAGATGGTGGAAACACATGTGGACAAAACACGCTTTCGCTTTCACCAGGTATGGCAACTCCACTTTACACCCTACAGACCCATAACCCCAAAACCTAGATCACTTGGCGACTCCGCCTTCATTCCCGCTCCATCCATGGCCGCCCATTTCTTCTGCGAAGAAGCTGAGTGCGGGTGCTCAGATTCAAGAGCGCTGGTGCACAAACAATTCCAAAAGAGCCCTATATCGGCTTAAAGTGACGAACTCTAACGTGTTAGGATGAGCTCTTGAAGCAATCCTGCCCACTTGTTGCATTAGATCCTCGTCTTGGTAGTTGGCATCAAACCTGAGGTGTGGTCTAGAAGGCCAGAAAGGTGAATCATTGTGAATCCAAGTTTTTGACTTGACTGGGGGCACCGGTCAACAAACAGGAAAACTTGGGAGCAATTCTTATTTGAGAAACCTTGGATTGCGCTTGGTCTCTTCGATGTATATGGTCAGCTCCAACATGGCATGGAACTTCGGTATGATTTAAGGTTCTCCGCCCGTCTTCCCTCTTACGGTCGTTGCTAGCAAGTCGTTGGTAGGCCACCAGACCATCCCGCGCTGTTTGAACCACTTTACGTGCAACATCATTGCTCAAAAAGGGTCCGCGTGTATCCATCAAAAACTGGAAGTGCGTAAAGTAGTACATGGTTTGAGCTCGGCGATCTCCTCGCGGTGTGTGCTGTTGACCCCTTAGGTAATCCAAGCACCAGTACAACATTGTTTTCACCACCGCTGCCTTAAATATAGAACCCAGCTCGGGATATGCGTTCCATGTGTCCTTCCCGAACCTTGCCAACGAAAACCTGTGCGAACATGCAGTCACGTATGCGGCTCGCTCTCTGCACCACTTTTTGTAGTGTTGGTAAACTTCTTGGGAGAGACGTCGGTCCATCTCCTTGAGAGTGATTCCTTCATACTTGGATTCCAGCGTGTCGCATACCAAGCTTGCGATCAGGACACATGCCACTCCTTGATGGTACACATGGAGAATGTCCTGGGATCCAGTGAGATTGCGCGGCCCACCCATCTCATTCCTTTTTTGTTGGTTTGAACAA